AGAGGCAGACTCCCACAGCTAAACACTGAGCTGAATTCAAGGAATCCAGTGACAGAGAGGGAGGACTGATGAGCAAAGGGGTTAAGACTAGGCTGGTTTAACCCCCAGAAATAGCTGACCTGACAAGGGTTAGTTCTTGAATCCCAGACTGATGGCTGGAATTCCAGCATGGGACTGATCAAGACCCCCTGAATATGGGTGTCAATGAGGATGCCTAGGCAATCTAGGGGGCCTTGGGTAGTAGATCAGTATTTATCCCTGGCATACAAATGGGCTTTGGCTGCCCATTCCATAATGAGGGATGCTCTCTCAGCCTGGACTCTTGGGGGAGGGCCTAGGTCCTGCCCTGGATGAAATGACAGACTCTGGAAATCCTCCATGGAGGGCCTCACCCTCCTTGGGGATCAGAGTGGGGATTGGGTGGGGGCTTGGGGATTCTGATGGGAGGTGCAGGGGAGGAGGTGAGGGAGAGGGAGCTGGGATTGATAGGTGAAGCAAGCTTGTTTCTAATTTAAATTTAAAAAAGAAAAAAATCATATGGAAATACATATAGAAAACCTACAGACAGCCAAAGTAGTCCTAAACAGACAGAAAACAGCCGGAGGTGTATTACCTGAACTCAAACTGCTACAGAGCCTTAGTGACAAATACAACATGGTACCAGTACAAAAACAGACATATAGACAAGGGGAACATAAATGGCCCAGAAATAAAGTCATACAGATATGCACCCCTAGTTTTTGACAGACGAGTTAAAATTTATAAAGAAAAAAATCTCATTCAAGAAATGGTGCTAACTGGCAAAACTGGACAAGTTCCTATGGAAAAATAAAATTAGGCCCATATTTCTCACTCTGTACAAAAGTTAATCCAGTGTGGATCATATATCTCAATTTGGCACCAGAAATGTTTAGACAACTATAGAAAAACATGGTTCAGGGGATTGCCAGCAGAAAATCCCATTGCCAGAGAGTCTAGGAAACAGAACCTTCATCCAGCGACTGATGAAAGCAGAGGCAGACACCCACAGCTAAACACTGAACTGAGCTCCTGGAATCCAGTGTCAGGAAGAGACCTGATGGGCAAAGGAGTTAAGACTGGGCTGGTTTAACCCACAGAAACAGTGACCTGAACAAGGGGGAGCTCTTGGACCCCAGATTGATGGCTGTGTGGAAAACATGAGACAGACCCAGATCCCATGCATGCGGGTGTCAGTGAGGAGGCCTAGGTAATCTATGGGGTCTTGGGTAATATTTATCCCTGGCGTACAAATGGACTTTGGCTGCCCATCCCACAATGACGGATGCTCCCTAAGCCTAGACTCTTGGGGGAGGGCCTAGGCCCTGCCCTGGATGAAATGACAGTCACTGGATATCCACCATGGAGGGCCTCACCCTCCCTGGGAATCAGGGTGAAAATTGGGTAAGGGACTGGGGGACCTGGTGGGGAGGGCAGGAGGGAAGGGGAGGGAGAGGGAGCTGGGATTGACATGTGAAACAAGATTGTTTCTAACCTAAATAAAAACATAATTAATATTTTTTTAAAAAAGAAAAAGATGGTGAAAACATTTTACAATATAACCATTGGAATTCTTCAGGAAATAGCTAGTTATTGACAAATGGGGTTGCCTGAAGACAAAAGTCTTCCGCTTAGCAAAGGAAACTATCAGCAGAGCGAACAGACAGCCAAGAAAATACTAGAAAAGCCTTTTCAGCTACACTTCAGATAAAGGGTTAATTTAGAGTGCATTTAAAACTGCAAATATTAAACACCAATAAAACAAACCCCCATTCAACGAGTGGGCCATGAATGAACAGACAGCTCTCAAAAGAAGAAATACAAATGGTCAGATACATATTTCAAAAAGTGTTCAGCATCCTTAACTATCAGGGCAATAAATACAAATTGAGATTATTTTGAGATTTGATCTCACCCATCAGAATGGCTGCCATCAAGAAAACATGAAGACAAATGCTAATGAGGCTGCAGAACAGGAAACCTTGTTCATTATTAGTGGGAGTATAAAGTTGCGCAATCACCGTGGCAGTATGGAGGTTCTCAAAAATTAAAACTGTAGCTAATATATGAGCCAGCCAAAGGACTCTGGGCATACACTCAAAGGAGTCCACATCTTACCACAGAGATGCTTCCCATCCCCATTTGTTTTTCACGAAGAAACAGAATCAGCCTAGATGACATCAATAGGTGAGTGGCAGTAAAAAATGTGGGACATATGCACAGAGACATTTTATCTGGACACAAGGAAAGATGAAATTTGTAGGTATATGGCTACAAATAGAAAAAATGCTATGAGGTAACAACAGGCTCAGGGAAACAAATTCCATGTGTGCTCTCTCATCATATGCGTTTTCTCACATGTCCTCACTCTCTCTCATGACTCTCACATGTTTTTCTCACATGTTTTTCTCACATGTCCTCACTCTCTCACATGTCTCTCTCACATGTCCTCTCTCTCACATGTCTCTCTCACATGTCTCTCTCACATGTCCTCTCTCTCACATGTCTCTCTCACATGTCCTCTCTCTCACATGTCTCTCTCACATGTCTCTCTCACATGTCTCTCTCACATGTCTCTCTCACATGTCCTGTCTCTCACATGTCTCTCACATGTCTCTCTCACATGTCCTCTCTCTCATACGTCTCTCTCACGTCTCTCTCACATGTGCTCTCTCACATGTCCTCTCTCTCACATGTCTCTCTCACATGTCTCTCTCACATGTCTCTCTCACATGTCCTCTCTTTCACATGTCTCTCTCACATGTCTCTCTCACATGCATTCTCTCACATGTGCTCTCTCACATGCGTTCTCTTACATTTGTTCTCTCACATGTGCTCTCTCACATGTGTTCTCTCACATGTGACTTTAACTTGTACTTTTGTGTATTTATGTGGGAGGGAGTCTGAGTAGAGGCCAGGAAACCGGTAAGGCGCCCAGTAGAGAATGGGCTTTAAGGAAGGAGGCTGGAAAGGTCATAGACACGTGTGACATGAAATGTAAGCGGGAAGGATGGAACTGAAGTGGAGTGGGAGGAATGAGAGGGAGGGGACTAGACAGAGAAGGGTCAACCAAAACTATGAAAATGCCATAAGGAAACCTTTTCCTTTGTATGGTCACTGGAGAAAAAACAGGTTCAGTACATTTCCCCTGCTGACGTTTAGTTTTCTTTTGACCCCATCTCTCCTTTTTCATGCCTGTTTCTCTCTTTTGGTTGAGAATGTCTTTACTCTGCTGGTCCATGTTTGAAGCAGGTAAACTGATTTCACAAGTTCATTCCCAGATTGGAGGGATTTGCCTCAGGATGTGTGATGCCTTGAGTCAGAGGAGACTCTGGACTTTGTATTTTAAAGTATGGAATGAATTCATTCTTCAGGGTGAGAGACATGAACTTAACATCCAGAAGGGGAAGAGTATTATTCAAATATATCTCCTGTAGTAAAGTCCTTATCCTTGAAACTTAAGCCCTGATGCAGCAGCACCGCAAAGAGGTGACTGAGCCCTTATGAAGAGATCATGTGCTAGTCCTGGGGATGGATGCCAGCTTGGGTTGTCCTCATTTGAGCTGTTTGCTCTTGTCCCTCTGGGCGCTTTATTCTTTCACACTCATCGCTGATGAATGAAGGAACCAAATGAAACCCTATTCCTTTAGATTTGAATGAATCAGACTTTAAATAAACCAAATTCTCTGTTGATCCCCCAGTTTATAGTGTTCTGTTATAGGAAAAGAACATAAACAGACACCTCCTTCCTTTGAAGCATGCATGTCTGAATGTGTTGGAGGGTATGTTGTGGTTGGACTTGCGGAGTGTCTCGCATGTCTTTTCATTTGGGTACCTTTGCCTCCTGCCTTAACACCAGGTCCACTACCAACAAATAGAGTTACAAAATAATAAGAATATTTCCTGTTGATCAAAGCCTACCTAAATTTTCCCTTTTTATCTGTTTATTTAATAACATTTAAGATATGAATAGTAAACTTTAAACATTGGCATAAAGAGCCAGGTGTTGGTGGCACACGCTTTTAATCCCAGCACTCAGGAGGCAGAGACAGGCAGATCTCTGTGAGTTTGAGACCAGCCTGGTCTACAGAGCGAGTTCCAGGACAACCTCCAAAGCAGTACAGAGAAACCCTGTCTTGAAAAGCCAAAAAAAATTTTGGCAAAAAGACATTAAAATGAACATTAAAAATAAACATTAGTTTCCCTTCCTGAGCCCCAAGAGCACAGATAGCACCATTGGCGGAAACAGGCATTACTATTCAGCTGTTCTATGTCTTTCTAGAATACTTAAAGGCTAGACTTGCAACTTTGAAGTAAAAATCTCTTTGTGTCTCTAGTAAACTTTCCACAGCACCCTTCATTTCTTTCCAAGTATCCAAGAGAGAGGAATCTCCAGGGTTAATGCCTACTTAATAAAGTGTTTCAAATTTCCACTTAACTCTTACGATGGCCACTATCTTTCCATGGCCTTTCTGTGTCTATGAACCAATGAGGCTCCTGGTGGATACGCTGATATAGAATGAAGATGAGGAAAGACTGTGACTGACTCTTCAGTATCCTTGGTTCCTCCCATCATTTTGCTAGCAACCAAACACCACTGTTTCTGTTGAGCCCTATAACATAAAAGGTGACAGTAAAAGGTGCGTCCTTAGCATCATGCATAGGACAGAGGCTGTAGGGAAGAAATGCAAACACAGGTTCTAGCACTTCAAAGCTGTATGGGACTTATAGTATTAACTGTCTCCATTTCATCGTTGGTACAATGGTAACAACAATAGAAACCAATTCATAGATGTACAATGATAAAGTTTATAAGGCAACAAAAATTTAGTAAATAGATACACATAGTACTTTTCTCAATAGATATAAGGACTCTTATAATTATTATTGATATCAGTAAGTTTTGCAGAACTTGAATGCACGTATGTACAAAGTTTGTCATCATTTTCATTGTCTGATTCAATTTTGGTGCCTCTCTGGAGAAGACAGCTCAAGGTACATTCCCATCAAAGGATTTTGCCCCAAACCAGTGATCATACATGGAAACTTGTCTGTGGAGAAAGATCACTATGCTGAAATGGAAAATATCACCATTAAATGTAATCCTGGATATAACTTAGTTGGTTCCCCAAGCATCATTTGTTCGGAAAACAGAACATGGTACCCTGAGGTACCCAACTGTAAGATAATGGTGAGTGGCACAATTTGGGAAACTTCTGTGATGTCACCCTTAAATATAGCGGCCTCTTCCCAAGGCTCTGTCTCAAACTATGGTCTTATCACCTGCCACCTGCCAGGATGCCCAGTTTACCAGATTAACACTTATAACCTTGAAGCACTGTGCTTGAAGGAGTAGATTTTTCTGCTCTCTGGCTGGATCCAGAAGTTTAGAATTGAGGGTTTCCTAGACCTAGTGACCTGACCATAAATTTCCGTGTTTGTGGTCTGTATACTTTTGCTCTGCTTCTGGGCATGTGCAGGACTCCTCCGCACCTATCCTTATGGGGTTACTCTGGGTCCTTCTAGCTCTGTGCCTTTTCTTCAACTATACTTTTCTGCTCCTCAACATCCAGATGTTGTGACATATACCTATAATCCTAGTAACAAACAGCTGGGCATAGGAGGGTCCTAAACTCAAGTTTGTCTTGGGCTACAAAATCCTGTCTGAAAACACACACACACACACACACACACACACACACACACACACACACCTCTCTTCCTCATATTGTGGCCTGCATATGAATACCTGCTGAGGATGCAAAGTCTCTGCAGATTTTCTTAATGCTCATCAATTCTATCAATCTCACTTCTGCCAAGAATCCCTCTCAGACTGTACCCTCCACCCATTTACTTCTTGTAGGAAGTCCTTGAAAACTGCAGAGAAGTGAATGAAGGCAGAAAACTCTTGCAGTGTCTCTCAAACCCAGAAGATGTGAAAATGGCCCTGGAGGTGTACAAACTGTCTCTGGAGATCGAACGATTAGAAGAGGAGAAAGAGAAGTGGACACGGTTCCACAGGAGACCTTTCACACGCATTAAAATTAAGGGGCCTCTTAGGCCTTTTGATTAATGTGCAGAATCTCCATGCAGCAGCTGTACTGACGCCTAAGTGCTACCAGTCCTGTTAAAAAAGTTTCTGGGCCAGAAGAACTTACATGTATTTTTGTTTTATTTTTGAAGCTATGTCAATGAGTATTGGCTAGCTATTATGGTTCAATTGTCTACTTGGCTCAACTCACTATAATGGTTAAATATAAACTATAAAAACCAAAGTTTTTTGTTGTCATTATGTTCAGTATGTTGCATGAATATGACGTACGTACCCAGAACACAAATTTATTGTGTTGATAGGTAATTTTATTTCTCCTTTATTTTCTACCTTGCAAAGAATGAAGCTTTATCTATCCCAACCACATACCTGCTGAGTTGTCTCTAAACTCCATGACACTGTGTCTCATGGGCCCAGCACCTGCCAGTTCTGAATCTGCAGGACAAGGTCTGAATCTAAGGAACATTCTGGAAAACAGAACCTTATCACACTGCAGAGATTCTTTGGTGCCCTCTTCTGGTCACTTTCCACACTAACAAGAACTTCTAGACTCCCTTTAAAGCAAATTGGTTTTGTGTGTTCCTCCACATTATAGAAATGGAATCAGATGTATGTCCTGGTTTGTTTGTTTGTTTGTTTGTTTGTTTTTATTGAATTGACACAAGTTAGAGTTATTGTAGAATAGGGAACCATAGTTGAGAAAATGCTTCTGTAAGATTAGCCTGTAGGCAAGTCTGTGAGCATTTTCTTGATTAATGATTGAGGTGTCAGGGCCCAGGACACTGTGGCTCGTGCCCCCCTAGACTGGTGGTTCTGGGGTATATAAGAAAGGAAACTGGGAAAGCCAGGAGAGTGAGCAAGTAAGCAATGTTCCTCCTCAATTCCTGCCTCGAGGTTCCTGCCTTGAGTACCTGCCCTGACTTCCAGGGATGATGGACTTTAAGCTATATGATGAAATAAAACCTTCCCTTCCCAAGTGGCATTTGGTCATGGTGTTCTATCATAGCGATAGTAACTAAGAGAGAAATGTGTAATTTTAATCTCACATTTATGTCTGTGATTTTGAAGTCATGTCAATACAAACAAATCGACCGCATATATTTACATGTGTTATTTGCATTTTGGTTAGTGATGCTTGGCATGTTTGCCTGACCACAGCAATACCAGGGTGTATTATCAGTAGATAATACAGTGGATAAATTAGCTCTATGATGTCATGATGGGATGCTAGCCAGGACCAGGGAAACTCCACAATATCAATCAATTGATGCTCTTTTTTTCTGATGTCAACTGTGTTCCCATGGTTGTTTCCTTGGAGACTGAAACAATCCATCTCCTAGGCAAGCTCCTTAAGACAGATGATAAACAACTCAACATAACTCCAGGAAGTCCCTGAAACCGACCATATTCTCTAGGCCCCTCCTTCCCTGAGTAAGCAATAAAGACCACAGAGGGTCACTTTTAGACAAGCCACACTGCAAAGAAGATTCTGAGACTCAGAAGAAGCAGAAACTCTCTAAGCTCCCTGGAAGGGGTTTACACCCACAGAATCCCCTAGAAAGGACACTCTCCAACCTGTTGAGTTGAGCTGCCTGTATGTAGACTGTGCAGTGAGCTCCAGGTTCCCACCTTTGTGAACTGTCACCCGTGCTGGGGTGGGCTTTGGTAATGCAGTTACTTTTGAGTCATTTCTGCTTCTGTAACTAACCCGTCAGCCGCATTCCTTTAAGAAAACCCAGTAAAACTCATTGGTTCACCAAGTTGGACTTTGGTGGTATTTGTACTTTTGTCTGTTGTGGGTTTCCTATCTGGGAGGGTAGACGAGTGTGTTGTGTCTCCTTAGGAAAAGTCTTGTCACACAACAATAGTGTATCCATTATGACAGAGAATCAGCAGCTCAAACTCCACAGATATGTGGGGAAGAAGCCTGGCCACAAGAATATAATCCAAATACAGATGGGAATCCATTGCTGAGAGGGCCATCACTACATCCTCCATGATGGGAAGCCAAGTGATTGGCTGGCCTCCCTGGGACACTGTCCTGTAACCCGTGCTGATAGAAAAGAATGTCAGTTCTCACTTGTAGATAAATACAATGTTTCTCTCTGAGGTTCTCTAAGGGGTGTAGCTCAGTCTACAGGTAATTGGTCACCAATGAAAACTCTATTTCTTCCCTTCTTTTCCCTTCTGTCCATAACTCAATTTCAAGGACTTCCTGGTAAACTATGGCAAGCCAGCAAGATATTCTTCCATTTGCTTATAGATACTTTTAAGAAAGCATTTTGCTTTTTGTTTTGAAACATTGAGTGTGCGTGCACACACAAACACACACACACTTATTTACTTATTGTGTACATGTGTAGGTGAGTGGGTGAGTGTGCATGCGCCGTGGCACACAGGTAGAGTTGGGAGAATAACTTAGAGGGGTTGGTTCTCTCCTTGTACCCTGTGGGTGCTGCAGACCCAGCTCAGATTGTCAGGCTTGACAGCAGACACCTTTACCAGGTAAAAAATCTCACAGCACCCTCAGGGATGTATCTTTCTCATTTAATAGATAGTAATATGATCATTTGGGGTGGGGTGCACAGGATAGGGATGCCATCCGTGGATATCTCAACCGTTTCGTGTGCTTTAAGGAAACATACCTATTATTATAATTTTCCCCTTAGCATAAAACTTAGAACTTCTGAACTGAAAAACATCACAGAGATTGTTTTAGTTTCAAACTCCTTTCAATGCACACGTGCATAAAGACTTGAGTGACTTGGACTCCTGGCTGAGCCATATGATGCCCAATAGGTTTTATGGGAATTTGGTGTCCTGATAAATCACCAGTCTGTGGTCATTCCTGCCACAGTAGAAATGGGAGGCTTCTAGGAACACTGATTTAAGTGACTGTCTCAGGGATCCACCCAGAAAACATTTGTAAATTAGATGAGCATGGTATGCAGAGCTTGGCTTGATGCAGATAAGTTTAGGATCAGACATGGCAAACCATAAGAAAGCTAAGCTGGGCACTCTATCCTTCTCTCCTGTCTGCAAAGAATGTTAATAATACTAATGGTGTAACTTCCCAGGAAACCAAATGCAATACTCTGTGGAAAGCTTTGGAACCTGATTATTAAGCAGAATCGGCAACTTGTTAAAATTATCCTGGTTCTTCCTCGGAAGACGAAGTCACCACTTGGTGGCTTTATTTGGTCACCTTTCCCTTGAGGAAGGCTGATGTTTAATCACTGATATTTCAGGGAGGAGGACCCACTCACTGACTTCCAGGCAATGTTCCTCTTTGTGTGTCTGTGCACGTGGTTGTTAGGGCTGTCTTGTACTTGTGACAGCTCAGATTGACAGTGAAAACTATTTTTGGATTGTCCCCACCCCCATGTTCATTGTCTCTAGAATGTCAGATAACAAATATTCACTGTTGGTTCAATTGGCAAATCATAGGAAGTACAGGTTTATAATGCCCTGCCCTGCTTCAAGTAGGCTCAAATATAGAATCTGGGCATAAGATGCCTGGCAGGTATTAGTGGACCAGCTTTAGCTCAGACAGTGAATTAGGTTTGGGGGCTAACAAATAAGCCCTCTAAAGCTTTTCTCTTAGTGCATTTATGAGCGGTTTATGTTGAGCTAAAAAGGTCTTTATTCTGATCTAGCCACCACCAAACGTTGTTGTAAGCTGGCATGCTTCTGTTTGCAGCAACGATGTGCTGTTCGTTAACATTTAATGTCCATGTGGGGTTTACCTGTGTTTTAAGCAGAACCACAACATAATCCTTTAGTTTTCTACTGATATATCCTCAATGTCAATTACTTTGATGTCATAGATGCATCAAGAATACACACTATTCCTGAAGATCTGCCTGGTCTGGATGTAGGACCAGTAAATGCCCCTGTTGTGAGAAAGAAGAAACAGTTAGAAAGTCTTGGAGTTGGGTCTATGAGATGACTCCGTGGGTAAAGATTTCTGCAACCAAGCGTGGGGATCTGAGTGGAAGGAGAGAACCCATTCCTGTCCCCACACCCCAGCTCTTAGGCAAGCTAGTGTCCTCTGCCAGATTTGGAGGGCCATTAGATGACCCAGTCCAGTTATCGTCTATACCTGGCCTGTTTGACTCTGCCCTTCCGCTTCAGTGACTTAAAATGCTGTTGCTACTAGGTTTTATCCATCTATCTCAGCATCAATTCATTCATGATTTCAAGTTTCACCATTACCTGATCCAGGGTCTCTGAGAATGCTGTGTCCGAGGGCTTTCTCTCTGAGACTCAGCGGCATGCCCTGTAAATTACATGTAGTTTTCTCAGCACCATAGTTCCTCAGAGTCTTCTCTCTGCTCTGGTGTCATCCTATCCTTTATGGCTAAGTGTGAAGTTATGGGAGATAGTAAATAGTTTAATTAAGGAATAAAGAATTAGTTAACAAGAAGTTAACTGGTGTTAAGTACAATGAAATAATTTTTTAAGGAATATATTTAACTATGTAATTATAGACTCATTTGGAAGCTAAATATTATAATCATTAAGGTACTTTTCTAGCAGAAACAATTTTATGTTAATGTAAAGTATTTAGGTGACTATTCCTAAATGATTAAAAGTTAATTCTTCTATAGGCCTAATTTTTTTCTAGTGTAGTAGTCATTAAGTAGATTATTTTTCTATTAGCATAGTAAAGCATCACATTATTATAAAAATAAATGAATTCAGTAGTGTAAAATTATAAAACACTATGTAAATAGAAGGCATTACATAATGCATTGCTTTATAATTTGGAGAGTAATTGTCTTGTGCACAGGCAATTGTCTAATAGTTTGTAAGGGTCAACATGTCCCACTAGAATAGAACTAGCTATAAATGCAGGTTTGAGTTATTGTTTTAATTTATAAAAGGAGTGATACTTCAAGAATGTTGCTCATTGTTCCCAGACATCCTATGGGAGTGAGCTATGTGAACAATTACTGTGATAATTCATAAAAAAGTATTTACCCAGTGAATATGTTTAATTTTGTATTTCAAGCCTTAGAATGATAGATAAGTAAACATTTATTTGAGGCCTAGAACTTCAAGAGTGAAGACTTCATAATATTTGACACTTACCCCTGCTCATAAAACAAAGGTTTCAGATACAGATGGATAAGCTGGCCATGAGTTATAAGATGCCAAGGAATGACAGAGCCCCGGATAATGAAAGTTCACCTTAACTGCTGTTGCTGTTTTCATTATATC